GGAGAGCTGCAAATCTTCTAAAACTAGAAGGGGAGAGATCTAACCTAGTTAAACTGTTAATAAAAATGTGAATATTGACAATATTATGCAGATGTGGCTGAAGTAACATGTACATCCAACTAGATAGTCCCTGGCATTAGTCAGAAATGCCAGCATTTCTCTTGCTCTCTTGGACCATGTGCAAGATGATAATTTTTGAGGCTTTATTTACTCATTTGTAAAAACAAAACAACAAAACAAAACAAAAAACCAAAGATGATGCCAGTAGAGGATTAACAAATAAAATGACTTGAATTGATGACCTCAATTTCATAATTTGTGCACGTGTCTCAGTCTTGCAAAAGGTTCCTGGCTTGTGTATGAAGCGGTATCTACCGTTGTCAACAAAAGACTCTCACAATGGAACCACCAAGGGGGGGGGGGACAGTAACTCTGAGGACCAGTAGATACTAGAAGAGTAGAGATATAGGCAGAGGTGACAAACCCAATGCTACAGTTTATCCTAAAGAATGCTCAAAGAATGAGGTCATGAAAAAGTCTGGGACACCAATGAGCCAATGGGTAAGGGCTCAATGGGGAGTGGGGTGGGGGTGTTATGTGGAAGTCAGCTGGAGAAGCTGTGGGTCTTAATCCTGACTGCCCATCACAGTCACTTAGTTCTCATGTGCAGGTCGCTTGCTTTGGGGGAGAATGGAACCTTTTTTTCCCCTTAACCTATATTTCATTATTTTAATTCAGTGAAATTTAATTTAATGAGGTAAATTCTTTTATTCACATGTGCACATATTTTATTGTGATAAAATTCACAGAACAGAAAATTCACCCTTCCAGGTCTGGAGAGATGACTCCATGTTTAAAATTCTTGCTGTTCTTACAGAAGTCCTGAGTCTGGTTTCCTACCTCTGTTGAGTGGCTTACAACTGCCCATAACCACAGTTCCATGGGATGTGATGGCCCTTGCAGGTACCCACACACACATGGTGTGTGCATGTGCCCACCCACAATCATAAAAATAAATTTTTAGAAAACTAACCACATTAAAGAATAAACATCTAATGGTGTTTAGCATAGTCACAACGCAATCATCCTATGCACACAGTTCCAGAACATTTCAACATCTTCAAAAGCCAAGCCTGTAGCAATAAAGCAACTTCCCTCTTTCTTGCTTCTAGCTGCTTAGCTTTGTGGGTTTGTCCACTCTGAATATTCCATAAAGTTGGAATAACACCATATACCATCTCTTTTGTAATTGGCTTCCTTTGCCAGGCATAGTTTTGGAGTTCCTCCTGTTGCAGCCTGTACTACTGCTATGGCTGAATACTATTGTATAGATAGACTTCCTCTCCTTATCCACTTATGAACTGATGGGCATCTGAGCTGTGGACACAGTTTGGCTATTGTGAGAATTGCTGCTATAAATACATGTCTGTGAGTATTTGTCTGAGTACCTGTTTTGAACTCTTCTGTGTCTATTTCTGGGAATTGAATTGCTTCATCATTTGGCACATTTACATTGGAACACTACCCCTGTCCTCACCCCCATGTGCCCCTTCCTATAAAGTTCTCTGTAAAGCTGATACCAAGAAGAGGGATGCACAAAGGGAGAAGACAAGAGGACGAGGCTATGACAGACCCCCATGTCCAAAATCTTGGAAAACTTCCAGAGGCTTCCAGAGATATAGCAGACATGGTGGGATATATAGGGAGATGGTAGACATGCCACCGAAATAGAACAAATCACCTCAAGGAGGAGCCATCAGTGGCCAGCAAGATGGCTCGCCTGCCCGCTGCACAAGCTGGGCAACCCAAGTTCCAGCTCCAGATCTCAGGTAAATCTGTGGATCTATTCCTTGACCTTCAGAGGTGCACTGAGGCACAAGCAACCATCCATCCCTCTCTCTCATACACACACAATGACAATATTAATTGCTTAAGAAGGAGAAACCATGTACTAGTTAGTTTTAGTGAATTAGACACAAACTGGAGTCACTGGGAAAGAGAGAGCCTCAGTTGAGGAATTGCCTGTGATTAGCTTGTGGGCAAGTCTATGGGGGCATTTTCTTGATTAATGATTGATGGGGAGAGCCCAGACCACTGTGGGTGTGGTACCCCTGGGCAGGTGGTCTTGGGATGTATAAAAAATGCAAGCGATTAAACACCATTTCTCTATGGTATCTGCTTCAGTTCCTGCTTTGGCTTCCCTTGATGATCAAGTGTGACCTGTAAGCCAATTAAACCCCTTTCTCCCAGCCAGGTGGCATTTGGTTAGTGTTTCATCAAAGCAACAAGGGAGCAAAATAGGACAAACCGCCAATAACAAATGCTAAAAGAACTAGAAATCAAATGAAAAACTGAACATGCCAAGTGCTTATAACAATGGAAGTGTGGGATTCCACAGCCTCACTGAGGGCCTGAGCCCAAGGCCTGTGGTGCAAGGCAGATGCTAAGCATTAACACCAATACTCTAAGACACCCTGACCCAGAGGCCACACACCTTCAATTCTCCCCAACACCAAGTACGTGTAAAGCCAATATCAAACTTACAACTGCAGTTGTCTTTGGGTGGAAGTTTACAAGTCAACAGACAATGCAGTGGCAGCTAAGACTCCCCATAGGAAACTGAAAGGCACCCATCCTGCTGACTACAAAGGATCTTGTTAAAAATTTGTAATAGCATAGAAAACACTGGAGCACAGCAAGCTGTAATTAGCAAAATTGAGCATAATTTAATCAAAATATGCAATAGACTTCCAAGGTCAAATTATATAAATAAAGGCTAATTTACTCCTATTTACCTAAACATTATGAAGGAGGTATTTGAGCATGTATCAATTGAGGCAGTCACACTTGAATGCCCAGGAAACATCAGTTAAGAAGGATCTTAGACTGAGATGGGTTTTTTTTCTGTTCTACAAACTGACTTGATGTCTTACACTCAAGCAATCCTCCTGTCTTGGTTTTCTGAGTAGCTGGGACTTCAGTCACAGTCCCGTGAGCCTGGTTGAAGGGTGTTTTTATGGGGTCACTGCCACTGGAATACAGGGACATTTTCAGTTTAGAGATGAGATCTTTGAGAAAGTCTGGGCTCACTGGAGACCTGTGTGGGGTGATGAGATTCCTCTTTTCACTATTTAAATCCATCTTAGTTTGAAGGAATATTAGATTATAATTCTTATACAACATTCAACATCTACAAATCCATAATGATAAGAAAATGTATAATGATTTCCCAGAAAATTATTCTTTAAAAAACCTACAACTTTTTCTTTTATGTTTAGAAAGAAGAGTAACTCAAAATGATTATACTTTAAACATAGAAAGTGAGAAGTAAGGCCAACTTTATTCTTAAAGTCACAAGTGAAATTTGGCTTACAATTCTGAACCCAGGTGAAACAACTGAGCACTTTGTTTACAAAGTGTGTGTTCAGTTTTTGTTGTTGCCATTTTTAAATAAGTGTGAGACCAGCCAAGAAATGTCTGAGAGCAGAGAAGTGGAAACCACCTTGGGTCTTTCTAAGGAACACTTCTATGTAGGAGATGAGATGGTCACTGTATTTAACTTGAATTTGGCTCTCTGTACCTATTGCAGTTCCAGCTCTTTTTTGGGCCATCCTAAGGTTTGTACCTGTGTGACACGCAAAGCCAGGTGAAGGCAGCCCAAGTGAGAGGAGGACATGGTGTTTTTCTTTAGCCCAGGGCAGCTGGCTAGGTCGGAGCCTATTCCTGCATTCTGCTGGCCTGTCTGGCTCTTCCCTGGAAACCCAGATGGACACATTTTGATTGTCCCACGAAAGTCTGTATAAGGGGATAGTCTGCTGACTTTTAGTTGCAATTTACTAGGCTGGTCCATCTGGTTTCCTCTCGTCCCTGGCATTACTGTTTGCTTCAGCCACTGACAAGCTGGGGACTGTGCCTTGATGAACAATGTAGGTGGCAGGCAGAAGCAACTGGCCAGCACTTGTGATCAGGTGGCACGATAATAACTGCCAGTGTTGAATAACTCATAGAAGACAGGTCACACCTGCTTAGCAACTCAGCATCTTAGACATAGCGAGAAACTACAGAAGACAGGAATCCAGCATGCTTTTCTCTCTTTTAGATGACATGGGCAGATAGGGGATGTCCTTCTGTATATATGCTTCTCTTATTGGTTGATGAATAAAATACTGTCTGGTCAATGAGGCAGAAAGATAGAAGGGACTAGGACAAGGAGAATACTGGGAAAGGTAGGCAGAGAGAGCCCGCCACGTGGGTTGCCAAAGGAGTAACAGGTCTGGGCATTCTCTGGTAAGCCAAGACCATGTGGAAATATATAGATTAGTAGTTATGGGTTAATAATTAAGACAGAGCTAGCCAATAAGAAGTCCTAGCCATCTGGCCAACAATTTAATAATTAATATAAGCCTTTGCATGTTTATTTGGGGCTGAGAAGGGTGGTGGAACCAGGCTGGACAAACAACAATGGGCCCTTTACCTATGGTGACCTCTAGTAGATTATTTTCATAATTCCAACTTTCAAATCTCTATCAGAAGCAGACCTCCAGGTTATGTGCTGTTAGTGGAATGGTAGCAACTTCCACCCTCAAAACTCTTCTCAGACTCCATAAAGAATCAATGAGAACTTCTGGCTGGGTGGTGTCATGGTTGATTCCAATTGTTAGTTTGACTAGGTTCAGAAACACTTATTGCTATAATTAAGTAAGTATTTGGGTGTGTCTGTGAATGTGTTTTCAGAGAGCTTTAAATGAGGAGGGAAGTCCCATCCTGAATGTGCATGCCACCATCCCATGGAGTGACAAGAAACAAAAGCATAAGAGCTACTTGCTGCTTGGAGCAAAAGTCTATGCATCAATGGCTAAAGATAAACTTATATTTTGTTTAGCTTTTTCTATTCTTAACACAGAATTTGAAGCCCAGAATTCCTGTTCATCAATTCTTCCAGAAGCCCACGGCACAGACACATCAAGATCACGGACTGGGCACAACCTAAGCGTTCTCACCTGCAACAGATGACAGCTTTGCATGAGAGCGCCAGGTCCAGGAAACTTCTGCGAACTTCAAAGGAGAGCGCATACTTCAGGGTGTGGCCATCGATGATGAGGGCTACATCGTTCTCTTTGCCCAGCAAATTTCCCAGGTCTGTGCAGTGCTGAGTGATGGCAGCCCTTGTTGCCTGGAAAAAGTGGGAGAGGATGATGTCTGTGGGCTTCATACATACAAGGTGAACTTCAAGTTCCTTGACACGAGAAGATGGGACAAGGAAAAACACACAGTTCCACTTGGTGCAGTCACTGCCATGCTCTCTGTGGCTGTTTGATGGGTAAAACATCCTGGGAGTGAGAGACCCTGTGATAGTCACAATTATCTGACCTGTCTGAAATGTGTTGTCTAGTGATGCAAATCTCTTCCCCAATGGGACTCCTCTCTCTCTCTCCCTCCCTCCCTCCCTCCCTCCCTCCCTCCCTCTCTCTCTCTCTCTCTCTCTCTCTCTCTCTCTCTCTCTCTCTCTCTCCCTATATATGTGTGTGTACATAAACATATAGTGCATAATGATGTACATATATACATATACATTCTTTTAATGTTCTTTAAAAAGGAACCTCAACAACACACACAAGCTTTAAAAAAGCATTATAGGAACTTACAGGACAATCACTAACATTTCTTACGCAGATTGCACAAGATAAAGCTTTAAACAGCCCCAAAATATGTTTACGATTAACTTACACATCTGCTCATCACTTCAGATGCTACTGCTGTCTCCATGTATTAGGAGATAAGAAATGAGCTGCTCATTCTCACATGGAAAAAACTGTCTAATCAAATCAAACTGCTCATACCAACCAAACCACTGCCACCAGCCTAAACAAACACTGTGAGGTGTCTATTGTTACACGCAAGCATGAAAGTCATTCCCATAATTAATAAAAGATGTTCTCGTATGGAGGAATGTATGTGCTCAAATATAAGAATGCACCTTTTGACTGATTTAAAAAAATGCAGCTTATGTTTGTTCAGAAAGTACAAAAATACACCGAAGTGATTCTTTCTGGACAAGGGATCTTTTGTCTATGAAGCTACATGTTCATGTAATTTGCCGTATGGCAGCCTAAAGTGTGGTTTTGAAGTTTAACGGACAGGCTTTTTCTTCCCCTAGTTACACTGAAGTTCACTGTACTGATAGTGAGAAACTACTTACACCGTCTCTCTGCCCAGATTTCATACTCAATGGGATACCAAGACACAGAAAGGGTTGCAGCGACATGTGCTCTGGAACCTCACACTATGACTGGACATCTTATCTTTTTAATAGAAATCTATATAACTTAAGTTAGCTCTAGCCCAAATTCCACACTTGCCACCTCTTTGACATGGACAAGAGACTTCACCTCTTTAAGTTGCCATTTCTTCATATATAAAATGAGGCTAGGAACACTTCCCAGCACTTTAGTTATAAACAAGCGAGCTGGCCCAAACAACGACTGAAGATGGGTTTGGCACACAGTTAACACTGAATGCACTACTACCATTTAGTCATGAATTTATATTGAGGAAGACACACACGACAGTGAATAAATGTCACCACTGATAGAGCTTTGCCACTGTGATGAGAGATGAATAATTAATGCACTTCCAGTCAAAGTTACACTGGTTTCTATTAAAAAATAAAACTTGATGCCTTTTAGCCTCAGTTCTACCATTCTGAGTCTCAAGGAAGCATCTAGATTTTTCAGTGATTTATTTATTTTTATGTTATGTGCATTGGTGTTTTGCCTACATTTTCTCTGTATGAGGGTGTTGGATCTCCTAGAACTGGAGTTACAGACAGTTGTGAGATGCCATGTGGGTGCTGGGAATTGAACCAAGGTCCTTTGGGAAAGCAGTCAATGCTCTTAACCACTAAGCCACTCTCCAACCAGGAAGCATCTAATTTCTCTATGGAAACAACCTGGCCTTTAGCATTTGGATAGACAGAAGAAAAGCTTTTCCACTTTGGTAAGAGCTGGCTTGACAAGGCAGGGGTTTATTCTGCCAGGGGTCTATTCATGCAGGACAGAAACCCTCCTGAGACTACACCACTGATGGGGCCCGGTCCTGTTGCTTCAGCAGAGCACAGTCTAGCTCAGTGTCTTCCATGCCAGTGGCTGCCCCATGGACATGCCTTGGCTCAGGAGGAAAATGGCCGATGAATAAAATTCCTTGAGATACAGAGATCCCAGATGTCATACGAAGGCACAGCATACATAGCGACATTGGGAAGAGTAAATTAGGGAGTGCAGCCTTTCGCCATTGCAGGCAGAGGCTCCAGCTTTGGCTGCCTAACACCATCAGCACAGGGGTGGGGTGGGGCAGCTCTGAGGATGGAAGAAGGAGGGTGTTTTCAGAACAAGAATGAGCAGCGGGAAGATGACAGAAAGGAGACACTATGGTTTGAATGTGTCCTCAAAGTTCACGTAGAAACCTCATCCCAATGTGGCAGTATCGAAAGGTGGGACCTAATAAGGGTCGTCAGGTTACTGTCCCCAGAATGAAGTGACAGAAGCTTTGCAAGGGTGAGTGTTTTTAAGAGCGACTCACTCTTGTCTGTCCCCATCCCCGCCCCCAGTCTTCTAATTATGAAGACAGAGCAAGAAGCCTATGAAGGCTAGTTTTGCAAAAAGTGACACGAGCCAGTCATTAGCGAAGAGGGGACTTCGGTTGAGAACATGCTCCCACTAGATTGGCCCATGAGCAAGCTTATGCGGCATTTTCTTCATTGGTGATTATGTGAGATCACTGTGGGCTGTGCTACTCCAGCGGTGATGGTCCCAGATGCCATAAGAAATCAGGATGAGCAAGGCATGTGGAGCAGGATGGTAAGCAGTGATCGTCTGTGCCTTCTGCTTCAGTTCCTGCATAGGGTTCCTGCTTCAAGCTCCTGGCCTGACTTCCACTGGAAATAGACTGTGACATAAACTGAAGGAATCCCCTTCCTCCCCAAGTTGTTTTTGGGCATGGCGTTTTATCACAGTGATAGAAACCTAACTAAGATAAAGGTCTTTGCAGGATGCAGCCCTCAAACTAGGATTTCCCATCCCATACAATCATGCGCCAAATACATTTCTTTTGTTCATAAACCATTAGGTCTGGGTATTCTGCCATGGAGCAGAAAGTAGACTAAGGCACGATGCCTGGGAAATCTATGATTCTGAGATGTGTACAGCCTTCCTTCCCCAGGCAAGCAAAAGACAAGGTCTGAAAAAGTCCCAGAGTTTCCACAGCAACAGAGGCCCTGGAACAGAGCGGCACTCACGTCCACTCTCCTTGAGAGTCTCTTCCCATCCTACAACTCGGGACGCAAAGGTCTTAACCATAAAAGGAATTCCTTGAATCCCCCCAAATTACTAAATAAAGCCCCGTTATAAAGTAGAGCCTGGAGGGGGTGTCAGATCACAAGGGTGGAGTCTTGTGATGCGGTTGGTGTAGTGTAGATGGAAGTGTTATTGCATTTCCTTCCCTCCCTTTCCCTCCTCTCCTCTTTCCTCCTCCTCTCCTCCTCCCCTTCCTTCATCCCTCCCCTCTTGTCTCCTTTTCCTTCTTCTTCTTTTCCACTATGTGCAGGACACAGCAAGATGGCAGCCATCTGCAAACCAGCATCTCACCTTGATCTTGACTTCCCAGCCCCCAGAAGCATGAAGGAAATGCCTCTTCTACTCTCAGGGTCCATGGTGGTTTTGCTATAAGAGCTGAGTAAGCCAAAAGGCAGCAGCTCAGGGGGTGAGCTCCATGGTTCTTGCCATCAGAGTCGCACTCGCATGGTACAAGTACAGCACCAGGAGGACAAAGTGACTGGAGGAGCAATGCTGACACCATGTTGAGTGTTTGGAAAAGGCCTTCCAACAAAGACCTCTACGTTAGATGCTTGCATAGTGCATAGGAGAAAACCACATGCATAATGAGTTACAGAGCCTGGGAGAATCTCTGTGCTTTAAATTCAGGATACCTTAGTCTAGGAAGTCTATAATGAACAGAAACTTATTGGCTCATGGGGATAGAGGCTCAAAGTCCAAGATTAAGAGGCCAGAATTGGTTGACAAGGCTTCATGTTATGTCACCTCATGGCAGAAGGACAATGGGGAACAGAGAGAGGGGGAGAGGAGAGGGAGAGAGAGAGAGAGAGAGAGAGAGAGAGAGAGAGAGAGAGAGAGAGAGAGAGAGAGAGAAGGGAGGGAGGGAAGGGAAGAAGGAGGGAGGGAAAGGAGGGGAAGGAAGGAGGGGAAGGAAGGAGGGAGGGAGGGGGAAAGAACCTAAAGCCTTAAGTTTTTCTATGCAGCATTAACCCATTAACAAGGCACCACTTTGCAACACTATTACCAGGGATTAAATTTCACACAAACTTCAACAGACACACTCACACAGTAGCAGTCACTAATACTGTGACTGGGACAAGGCTGTTACAGCTGGGATACATGTAAAAGTGAATGTGGCATCCCATGGCTGTACTAGACATCAAACTGCACATACACAGTGGCTACCCTCTCTAAAGAGAGAAGCAAACACTACTAAGATGTTTCCCATTTTATATTCTATTGACCATGAATTTTCTCACATAGATTAAAGCGTATGCATAGCTTTCTCAAGCAAAGAAATCAGTCGTGCTAGTTCAAGTTGTGTGAGCTAAACTCTGTTTTAATCAACTAATCATATCCACTAATCAGAGGAGCCACCATTCTACCTAGGTAATAAAAACAACACAACACACAGACATACACACTTCATGCAATCTACTCTTGTGAATCTTACAGTACACCCAAGATGACAAGTCTAAAAAGAGATGGTATGTCCTATCTCGATGTCTTGCACTGGTTCATGTCTGTGGTTGGCTATGATTATACTAACTTGTAAGCTTAATGAAGCCATTAACTCCTCTTGCGAACCTTTGTCCACACTAAGCCATAGCAGGTGCACTATGAATATGCTCAACTCATAAATGAACTGATATAGATAGGCATTGATTCTGAATGTTCCCCGATAAAATCTGTGGAAAAAATATTTTCAGGTCTTAGGTATCTCTTTGACTTCCTCATAGTCTATCCAACCTTTCTTTCAGGGACACATTTAGTTGTATTTTCCTTAAAAAATAATTGGTTCTTCAATATTTCTTCCCCACTCTATCCATTCACAACACCGCCT